GGGTACTTTGGAAAATTCGTTACCGATTGCATTGATCCCAGTGTTCACGGTGTTGGGTACTTTGGAAAATTCGTTACCCATTGTGTTTAACGCTGAAGATATATCGCCAAAAATATCATAAGTTACTACTAGTCCAAAAAAATGACAAGTTGCAAAATACGCAAAATACTTCATTTTTTATTTCTATTGACACGGCTCCGACGGAGGCTGTTGTGCCGATTAACAGATATAGAACCCGCGGATAGCCGCTCACGTCTTATTTGACGGTTGGTGGTAACACTCGACCAAATATATTTAGTTAATTAAAAAAAAAAGAAAAGAAAATACAGTTTTCAGGAAAGAATAAAAAAAACCAATATTTATTTTCAATGAGAAAAACACAAATACGGACGGCGTAAACACATGACGGTCTGTATAATAAATAATAATGTCGGGGTCCGGTAAACGTCTAGTACGATATTTTGTCTTCCCGTCCCGCCTAGGCCTTTACAGCGTTGGTGGTGGCGATAGTGTAGACCTGTCGCTGCGGTGCCTGCACTTTGTACCGGCGACCGTTGCGTACCACTACCGTGGTCCGTGTCACTACACTCACTATATAGTATATACTCAGTACTCACTGTGTTCTTTTCCAAACGATTGTACGCGCATCGGTTTTGTGTTTATTTACAATTCAATCTAAATTGTGCCAAAAACTCAATTGTTTTGGATTTTGATATATTATGAACTCTGTTGCGTTTTAATAGATTAAAAAATAATAAAAATCACAAAACACTTATTTAAGTACGCAATACGACTTTTAAGGTAATCATTTCACTATTAAACCGGCAACATTAGCGTTTGGGGCAAAGGGAAACTATTGGCAAAATAATACGTCTAAGCTATTGCACTCGCATGGCAATTTATTTTTAATAGATGATATTACACTGAAACTGAAAACTATTTTTTTATAATATTATATAGTATAATGAGTATAATATAGTAGTATGATTATATAGTATACTATAATGTCATAATGAGACTATATAGTAGGAAATTTAACACGAGACCACACTACCATAGGCCATAGGGCACAGGCAGCACGTATTAAACAATAAACAACTGAAATAACGAATATAAAAACAAATAATATTGTTATTTGTTATTTTTTATAGCAGACAAGACGTGAAGTTTTTGAATTTGAAATTTGAAATATTTGAATGTTAGGTTAGGTATGACTTAAGATCAGAGGTTAAAAACTCAAGACATGGATAAATTACGCGCAATTAGGGTGATAAGAATAATTTTATCGGGATTGATGTTTATTTTTTATAGTTTCAGTTCCAGACATTTTAACACGGGATAGTATATGAAACATTTTTGATGTGACAAAAATGAGCCGCTAGGAACGCTTATTGCAATAATGAAAGCGATTACGGCCTACGGGTTAACCCACCACCATAGGGTAATTAATTACTAATTATTATTAGAATTAAACCTTGTCAATACGTCTTGATAATAATGATTATTGTTGATTAACGGCATTAACGCTAAACGGCTTATTGGAATTCAATTTTATTGTGAAATGTGAATAATTATTATTTTCAAACAGTTTGTACGCTTTTGACTTTTGGTATTTGATGTTTAAAAACTCTACAGGGTTTTTGGGGTTTCCAAACAATAAACAGTAAAACCTCTAAATACCGGACACTCTCGGTCGTCTTAATTTTGTCCGTTATTTAGAGGTGTCCGTTATTCAGAGGGGGAAAATAACTTGCAGAAATTAATAACTATGTACAACATTATTTATAAGTATATACAATATGTATAATAAGAATATATGTATATTATTTTTATTATTTTAATACAAATATTTATTATACATATTATGTATTATTTAAAGTTATGATATTATTATCTATGTAAAAATTAATGAAAATGTAAACAAAAATTAACATTTATTGAAAAAATCAGTTACTTTAGTTACTTAAGCTTGTTTAAGATCTTGATGCATAGTCATTTCATGTATCAAGGCATTTTCTAATTCGACTACGTTGGAGAACAGTGAAATGTTCTGTGTATCGATAGAAGAACATAAACTGCTGAAAAATCGTATGAAAAATGTTTTTATCGACGCGATAACGGACGGATTAGAATGATTAGATAAACTATGATTGTACATAGTATATAATAATGAATAGTAGTCAGATTATATAAGATAGATAGATATTTATTGAGGTGTTCCACTATTATTCAACATTTACGATAAAAATCGTCAAAATCAAAAATTAAAATGCCATAAGTGTCCGTTATTTAGAGTGTCTGATTTTAGAGGTTTTCCTATATAAAAGTGGTGAAAATCTCCCCGTTCCCATAAAAATGTCCGCTATTTAGAAGTGTCCGTTAAGGGAGGTATCACTGTAATTGTTATTTATATTATTGTTCAGTCATTCATTGATATTTGATATAATGATAGGTATACACTATACAGTCTACAATATACCTTTGATTATATTGTACCTTTGATCTTGTGGTGTTTATTTATATTTTACATTATAAAAAAATTAACGGGGATAAATTTATTGAAATTAAAGGGAAAAGGCAAGGGCGCGAATATAAAATTCTCAAGGGGGGACAACATTTTAATTATATCCATGAAATAGGAATAGGTTTACAATTTAACATTATACTACTATATTTTATATATAAAACTGAAAGATTATGAAGTAATAATTATTTAATCAATTAACCTTAAAAGTTATTTATTGAATTTTCATTTGATTAATAATATAAATTTACAAATAAAAATTATAAATTTCTTTTTTTAACATTAATTTTTCAACATTTTCCGGGGGGGGGGACATGTCCCTCCCTTGCCACCCCCATATGGGCGTCCTTGAGGAGATTTCCATGCTTGAAAATAATTTTTTGATAATTAAACCATTTGTCTGAGTTTGACAACAAATCTCTATTTAGTAACATTTCAATATTGAAAGAATTGGCATATAATTTTTCTTTACAATACAAACTTAAAATAAACACTACATGTTGAAAAAATAACAAGTAAATTGGTTAGGTATATAGGTAAAGTAGAAAAAATACTTAAACAACTAATAATCAGTTAAAATAATTTTATTTAACTTTTCTTAATAATATTACATGACAAAATCTTAAAAACTATTATTTTGGACATTATATTCTCAAACCTATCACAATCAAAACAATTTATAAAAAAAAATATATCTTAATTATAACAAATGATAGACATCACCATTGCTTCAATAGCTTTTGTGCGATTTATTTATAACTTAATATAGCTGCCATGTAAATTCTCAAAATTCTCAATAATACATAGTAATATTACCATACAATCAGCTATCTTTCAATATGTATCAAAATATATTTATTTATTTAAATTAACAATAAGTTTTTGATCACAACTTAATTTTTGGTAGACAAATAGTTCATTAATAAGGAAAAATATGAATCAATAGCATTTGTTTTAAAGATAAAAATAATCCATAAACAACATAATATATAGGTACGTACAATCATTGAAAAAATTGTAAATTATTTGAACTATGGAACAATACTATAATTACTGAACATTAGGATAACAGTATAAAAATGTTGATGTATAGCTTAATTGTTATTTATGTTTATCAATTTTAGGTAACAAAATAAGTTGGAACACATATTGAAAGACAACTTAAGTCTCATTAAATATTTATCATATTGTTCATTCCAAACACAATATTAAATGTAACAAAAAATATAACAATTGAGAGACCAAAAAGTTTACTAAAATCATCTTTAAGCTAGCTATGATATATATTGTTTTATTATTGCTCTATGTTTAAAATATATATTATATTCTTTGTAAATACACAGCCAAATGGAAGCAAATTGAAAAACTGACTCAAGTTAAGTTAATTTTTGCAACAATTATGATTGGAATGTTGAATTAGGAATGAAATTTGGTAAAAAAAAATAAATAATATATCATTTAAAATAAAATTAGAAGAAAAGAAAATTGTAAAAATTAGCACTTTTAAGCATTCAACCAAGTTAATTAATCCATCATGCAATAAATTTATCATATTTATTATAAATTAAGTACTTGGACTTATTGCTAATTATTCGGAAATCTCACTTAAGGACATTTAAGAAGATTATTCAGCCTTAATATGATCATCAGATGCAGCCACAGAGGCAATTTCACAAAATGACTGTTCTAAACATTGTTTTAATTCTTGATAGCTAACCACTAATATGGTTTTTTCATCGCGTGAATACAAACAAATCTAAAACAAAAAACAATTTTTAAATAAGAAAATAAAACAAATAATAACATAATTATATTTAGAATTTACATTATCTGAAGATCCAGAATCGAGTTTATTTAAAGTATGAACTATATGTGACATGTCTAGCCAAGGACGTCCGTCTTCAGTCACTTGATGAAATAGATAGTCCCTAAATAATTTTAACATATACCGGTCACCAGTTTCTGACCATGCAGGATCTAAATTAAATCTAAAAATAAAAGATTCATTATAAAACAAAAATAAATGCAACATTTTTAATAAAATAATACTCAGGTCTCTCGTTAATTGATCCAAGTTTCACAAGCAATCGAAACAAACGGCCATTTTCCATTTCTTTAGATAGTTCATTTTCCAAATTGTCCGAGTGATTTTGTGCAGCATCCAATTGTGTGTAAAATCTGGCTCCAATCATTGGCATTAACTCTGTAATATGCCGTCTTTGACTACTCAGTAAATACCTGAAAAATAAATAAAATATTTATCATATTGTGTTTTATTACTTTTAGTTAGATTAATGAATCAAACCTTGTCAAATTACGAATATCACTACTGTACGTGCGTGTCATTATATCAAGGCAAGTAGCAAGATTATCTTGATGAACAGCTATCACAGATCGACAAGCCAGTGACAGTAAAAGCTTACCAAAGTCAGTTAAATCTTCTTGCTACAAATGTTAACTCATATTTTAAAATATTCATTATTAAAATACACTGAATCTTCACTCACTTGAAAATGACCAATCATGTTTGAACTGGCCATATCATTTAACAAAATATCAGTAATAGCTACACAGTTGATCCGTAGTCTCGCCCTTGTATTTACATTACCAGTCACTAAAATTCTATTTGGACTAAGACCTCTTAATGCCAATCCAGATCCATGTATTGCTCGAAGTGCACTACTAAGTTGAATTGCATAATTCCATAATGTATTTTCAGATAATATTCCATTACTAAAACAATGTTTATCATAGCTATTAATTAAAATTATTTTATTACCAACAGTCCAACAGTAGTTAAATTAAGGCAAGTCTTTAAATATTTATATGAGGATATGTTTAACTAATAATAATGAATTAGTAAAAGTTATGTTTAGAAAATATAACATTAAGTTAAAAAATGT